TATAAATTTTATAAAATTACATTTAAAATGTACTGTGTATTACACATAAAACTAATCCTCCACATAAACAAAACAATGATACTTAATAATAAATGTAACTATTTAGCATGTTCTTATACTGAAAAACTGAATTGAGAATAACAAGGCAGTCATTTATATTGCCCTTTATATACTACTTCCTCTGTCATGTGACAGTCAAAAGGCGAAGTGAGATGCCTGCAGCAAAGAAAACAGTTTTGAAAGGTCATGCTACACAGAGAGCCAGAATTTCTTTCACAATATCCTTACTGTCTATGGCAGACTATATGACAATGTGACCAGTTTTTTTCTGAGTAAAAGCAAAAGCATATTACCAAAGGACCAGAAACAGCAGGCACTGAACAAAATAATCTTAAGGAACATTTTTTCCTCTAACTGTATAAACAACCAATGCATATTAAAGAAAAAGAACCCTGAGGCAAAAACAAAGAACTGGAGTAAGAGGAACTAGTAAAAACTGGACAACAATTTTACACCAATCAGCTTATTCAGTGTTCATATAACATGGTAAGAAGCTTCGAAAATAAACTTTTTCAAATTAAAACATCATTTGTCAAGGAAAAGCATAACAATACTGAGACAATGAATATGATCTACTTCAAAGTTTCCAAATCTTAATGACAATTGCAAATGAGTTGCCAAGTTTTCAAAAACATCACTGCAAGGGGTTGTAAGCCCATTAACATTTTCCCCCTTAATAATGTCATAGGTTTATTATCCATCTGAATAGAGAATGTCTTTTACCAACTGTTACAATGTGTAAATCAACAACCAGATGAAATTCTAGTCTCAGAGGTTAAACAAGTGTACTCCTTGGGGAGGAAAAAAATCATTCCAGCTCATACTTGATCATCTTGTCCAATTCTAGAAGATCTTGTTTATTCCTTCCTAGTAATCAAAATGCATAGCTTTCTCCTGAGTCAAATGAAGGTACTTAGTACATGAGACATCACAGCCACGTTACATAGATACAGTCAGTAACCATAAGTTTTTGGCAATGCACTCTTCCTAAGGCCCTAGAATTCTAATTCCTGTTAGTATCTCTCACTAAAATTTAACTGGAGGACAACTTACTCTATGAGTTCTGACCTTACAGCAGAGCATGATAATTTGTGGCACTTTTAAAAGTACTAGAAACAATCTATGATAAACATTCTTTTAAAGAAATAATATACTTAAAACATTCTACTGCTCAAATCCAAAGGTATACTATAAACAAAATCCAGGCAAAGATGTAGAGAAATTGTAACCCTTGTATATTACTAGTGGGAATGTAAAATAGTACATCTGCAGTGGAAAAGAGTATGGCAGTTCCTCACAAATTTAAATGTGTAATTACCATTATGATACAGCAATTCCACTTCTGGGTATATACCCAAAATAAATAAAAGCAAGGACTCAAACAGATATCTGTACAACCATGTTCACAGTAGTATTATTAACAATAAGCAAAAGATGGAAGAAATCCAAATGTCCATCAGTAGATAAGTGGATGGATAAACAAAACATGGTATATACATACAATGGAATATTAATTGACCTTTAAAAAGGGCATTATGACCCGGAAGATGACTGGTTAGCCAGAAACGGGTAAGATTCCTCAAGGGAGGAACAACCTAAGGCAGGCACAGTCGCAGGGGGTCCATCAGGTGAGAAACTGGGGATCAACAGAGGTGAGCCTTAGAACCTCACTCCCCCTGTTTTGAGAGAAATCTTCTGCATCCATGGATGTTTTACTGCCCTTGTCTAGCTTGGATTAATACTTAGCTTATAGGCACACACCTGATCATCTACATTTGCTTTCATACAGAACTAAACTATGTTTTCTACCTTTATCTTGCATCTACCTACCACTTCAGCATTTTATTTAAAAAATAAAATAATAATAATAATAATAATAATAATAATAATAATGGGGAAATGTGGGATTCACATAAAATCAAGTATAAAAATCAAATATTTATATTTGACCTGATTGTTTATAGTTCATAATATGTGATCAAAACCGAAAGTTTCTGTGACAACTGCCCTTGTACTGCTCACCATGTAAGAACTTATTCACTACGTAAGAATTTGTACACCATGTAAGAACTTGTTTGTTGTGCTTCAGAAGATCTGAGACTGATGAGAATTAGACTTGGGGTGGATTAATGATTGTGCATTGAGTCCCCTGTACAGAATTTTATTGTTGTTAACTGTTAACAACTATTTGATCAATAAATATAAGAGATGCCCTCTCAAAAAAAATAAATAAATAAATTTTTGAATTGAAAATAAATAAAAATAAAAATAAAAAGGGCATTATGATACATGTGATACATAAAAGGTTATGCTAGCTAAATTCACACTGCCTGCCATATCATGCTAACTTATCGTAAAGTAAGCCTTTACACCATTGCTTGACAATACTTTCTATTCTATCCTGGTAATCACCTATTACACTTCTCCACCATCATGTCCAGCCTGGTCAATTTCAAGAGCCTCATAACTAACCTTACTAGTTCTCCTATATGCCTATATTCCATCTTCAATAAAGCAGCCAGAGGACCTTTCAAAAGATATACTGTATATTAACATTTTGCAGCTTAAAACCTTCCTTTTAAAATGTCTTTGAGACTATAAACTCCTTATCATGACCATAGGGACCAACACAGCAACCTGGCCAAACTGACTTCTTCAACTTCATGGCATGACACTATGGTCCTCAATCACTCTACTCCAGAGCACTCGACTTCTTTACATTCCTCAAGTTAATTTCCAGGGTTTTTCACAGTAGCTTGATTTTCAAATGACTGAATTCTTGTCTTTCACACACTACCTTAATGTTACCTCTTCACAAGTTTTCATTCAGTCCCTCTATCAACTGCCCTATTTTCTCACATTCCAATTTAGTATTTTTCTTGTTCATTTCAACGACTGGCTCTATGAGAACAGATCTTGTCTGTAAAAATGCCTGGCACAAAGCAGGTGTTCAATAAATATTTGAGGCTGTTTGGTAATTATTCTACAATGTTTTTCCTAAACGTTTTCTTCTTCCAGGAGGATCCCACCCCATCACTGATTAGCCTTATGCCTAGCAGATAACCTAATCCCTTATTAAAAAAGTAGGATAAAGAATTCTATCATTTATTTCCTCTTTGCCTAAATAAGCATTGATTCACCTTCTCTTCCACTCCTCTGGTTGCTAAGCAGAAAGGCCAATACTCTTTGGGAAGAGTTAAGGCCCTCTGCTCAGGTCCTCGATATCAAAATTTTTTTACCTCCTTAGGTAATTCATCACTCTAAACTACTCTACATATGTAAACTACTCTAGATCATTCCCTTTTACATAAAATATACCAGTTGCTAAAGCTAAAATTTCTTCTTCTTTGTGGCTAACTCCTCAAAATGATCACTGTCTTACCTTGAAACAATCACTGTCATTTCCTGTATAAACTTCTTGAAAAACATTCTCTTTTATTCTTTATGCTATGTACCTTGTAAAACCATTTACTTGACCTCCTGCAATTCATCCTGGTCTAAATGATCTGTTCTCTCAGTTATCACTAACCTTTTAATAATTAAATTCATAGGGCATTAAAATCCTTAATCTTTCTACAGAATCTTGTCTCTCTAAGAACCCCTCCTTAAAATTCTTTACTGTGCTTCGAAGAAAGACACCACATGATTCCGGTCTCCTTCATACAGTTTTAACATTTCCTTTAGTGATTCTTTTTAAGAACAGCCATTCTGCTCCACAGCCATTTCCTACAGTTCTGTGCTTTACCTTTGGCTCTCTTTTGTTCTCTGCTTGAATACTGGAAATGTTACCTACTTCCACAGCTTAAACTCTATATGAATTATTCCAAAATCTGTATTTTCTGGCCATAAAATGTCCTTTTTATTTTCAGTCCCAAATTCCCACAAATAAAGAGATATTCTGAAAATTCTTCCTATACCTCAAAAATCAAAATGCCTGTAACAGAACTAACTCATCATGTTAGAGTTCCACCCTCTCATCCCCTAATACCAGCATTTCCTCATGGTTTCCTTATTTGTTCATAGTATCATCATACTTCCAGCTACTGGAACTCTTGAATTCATGTACATGACTTCTTTCTTCTACATTCCCAGACAAATGTACCCTGTCAGATGAACCAAGTTTCACTCCAACATTCACTTCTGTGGCACATATCACAATTACTTTCATGACTACTTGTTAAGCACCTAACTTGTCTGCTAGACTATAAGCCTGGTCTAGCAGGCAAGATAACCCCAAGTAAGGAATGTCTGTCTGTCCTTCTTATCAGTATAACTAGGACAGACCATGTACTTTATTATCCAGACCACCAGACCTGAGTGTAAAAGAGGGCATTAAAAGCAGCTGGGCAATTACACAAGTCACATGTCAATTATATCTCAATAAAACTGGAGGGAAAAAATAGTTGGGCATTAACTGATAGACAAAAAGCTTAAATCAGGATATATGATCATGCTAAGTGTAACTCCAGTGCTTAGAGAAATAAATGCTACATCCTTAAGTACATACAAAGTATAATGGTTTAATAAATTAATTAAGAGCTGAAAGACTCACTTTATCACAGCCTCTACACTCTTTGCTCTATTGCAAGCTTATCTTTAGCCACAGACTTTGTCCTGAAAGGCCTCTATTAGGACCAGCATAACCTCCAAACTCCCAAATCCAAAAAACCTTGTTCAGTTTTCACTTAACCTTTTAAAAATAAAAGGATTTCAACACTACTGATCCCTCCCCCTTTCTCCTTTATGACGCTCTGTTGACACACTGGTAAATGATCCTTAATGTCCTACTACCTTTAAACAAAGCCTAGGATTTCCTTCTCCCCCATACCCACACAAATTAACAAAAAGATTTAGAATCTAACCAATATGCACATTTTCTGTTGGTTTTAAACTTCTTGAAAAAAATCTAAATACTTAAAGATACAAAGTTGGACACTTACCTTGAAATGATAGCCCCCACTTCAGTCTTTTAGGAAAACAGATGGCATTATTTATTTTTAAAAGCGAAGTTTTCATGGGAGACTTTTTCAGATAAGAAGATACACTACAAAGAAGGGTATAGATAAAAGGAATTAACATCTAAATAAGCTAAATTTCAGAAAATAACTAAAATGTAGTACATAAATGACATTTAATTGCTTATAACTCTTATTTTTAAATATGGGAAAAATATAGAGAACACAAATGACAATATGAAAATTACAAACAGAGCTGGAAGAACTTAAGTGGATGTCTTTACAACTAAGTTCTCTCACTTAGATCACCTCTTCTTGAAACCTCTTTTCTATAATATGCTAACTTTCTTTCTACTTCTCAATCCATTCCTCTATCTAATCATAAGGTGCTAACTATGAGTTATTTCTTCTTTAAATGTACCATTTAACACACACAAAACATATGTAAAGATGTATGTAAGTGAGTATAAGGTAAACACTATATATCACTATCCCACAGAACAGCAAAAACATTACACCCAGCAATGTGCTCTCATCCCAACCTTTACCCTCAACACTTCCTATCCCATTACTATTAAGAAATAACTTTTGTCACATATGTACATATCCCAAAAAAGTATTTTATTTGAGGTTTGTGACCCCCATTTACAGCTTGATGAATTTGTATACTCTAAATCTTCAGGACTTAAACTTTTTTCACTCACATCTTTTTTTTTTTAACTTTACCATTATTTTTTTATGGCTTATACCATCTCATCATATAAATATGCCACAATGTATTCATCTATTCCATTGATAGACTTTTGGATGGCTTACAGTTCCTTTTTTTGCTTTTAGCTATACTATTATACGACACCAGTGTGCAGTGAAACAAGAATTTCTTTAGGGTACGTTTTAAATCTAGAAGTGGATTTGGAAGTCATAGTACATGTAAACTGCCAACTTTACCAAAAATGTCAAATTGTCTTCCAATTGCATCAATTTACAGATTCGCCACCAGTATATGAATTGATGACACATCCTTTCCAATACCAGGTAAAGTCAGATATATCTTAATTTATAGCAATAAAATGTTATCTCCCTGTGATTTCACTTTGTATTTGTTTTATTACGTTGGGCATCTAATGAAAATGAAGACCTTTTTGCATTCTTAATTATCTGTGCTCCTTCCTATATTCTTTTGTTCACAGATTTTGGCATTTTTATTGGATATTTTTTTCTCATTAATTAGTAGATTTGATATATTCAGGACCAAGACCAGCAACAATAATTTGCAATGCACAGTACAAAATAAAACGGCAGTGCCACTTATTCAAAAATTAAGAAATTCAAGACAGCTAAGGCTAAGCATTTAAATTAAGTGTAGGGCCCTGTATGACTGCACAGGTTATAAATCCATGAAGGAAGCCCTGTACAGGACACCAATTCTCTATTTTATATATATATATGTATATATATATACTACAATTATTTTTTTCTAACCTTACAATAGTTTTTTCCAAATTTGGGTTATCTATTTTCTTTCTGATAGCTTAAGAATATTCATTTTCTGTTGGAATAGGTCAAGAGGAGTAAAGTTTTATGACCCATGGGCAAAATCTGGGCCATTCTCTGTGTTTGTGAAGTTTTACTGGCACACAGCCACATTCATTTGTTTACATATTGTTTATGGAGTCTCTCAAGCTACAACAGACTTAAAGGCATCACAACAGTGACTGGCCCACAGAGCTGAGAGTATTGACCTCCTGGCTGTTCACAAGAAAAGTTTGCCCATCCCTGGACTGGATGATTTTTAAGACCCCTCTCTGTGGGTGAAATCGCAGTATTTCCAGAATCTCTACCCTGGCCTTAGTGCCTCTCCTTATCAATAGATGTTCACAAGGAGTGGTGAGAAGGAGAGGTGATACAAGGGTGGGGGGGGATGTTTACAAGAAGAGGTGATTACAAGGGTCGAGGGAGCAAGGCTGTATCTGAGCTGGAGAGGTTTGGTCAGGCCTCCTTTTTACAGCTGGGTCATGAGAGACACAGGCAAGCAGAAGTGGACTGTTTGTAGGCAATAAACAGGTTTATCCAAAAAAAAAAAGAATATTCATTTTCATACAGTCAAAAATATTGGTAACCTGAAGAGCCTAGATGGCGGTGATTAGGGCAGCGGAAATCTCCTCACAAAACAATATATATTTTTAAAAATACAGCAAATACAACTACTCCAAAAAGAGAGACCAGAAGATACAGTACAACAGCCAGGCTACATCTACATCTATGAGAACTCAGCACTCCACAAAGGGGGTAAGATACAAGCTGTGGCCCAGCAGGACCACAGCAACACCCCCCACTCCAGCTCCCTTACAGGAGGAAAGGAGTTGGAGCGGGGAGAGAGAGGGAGACCAGGACTGCTAAATACCCAGCCCTAGTCATCCTCACCAGGAGCACAGACACACCATGAGTGGTATGCTGGATATTAGGGAAACGGAACAGTAAAATCTGCGAGTGGGTCCCTACAGCCGGCACCGCTGAGACAAAGAAAAGTGAGTGCCCTTTGAAAGTCTTAAAGAGACAGGGCTCCCAGAGCTGGATGGAATCGTCCTGGGACACTTAGCCCAGCGGCTGGGAATTCTGGGGAACTCCGTACGCCCTAACACCCTGGGAGGCAGCGCAGTTCAGAAGCACCTCACAGAGATAAACAGCCTCCCACCTGTTTCCCCTCCAATGCCGCACTGCCACAGTGGAGCAGCAGCCTCAGGCTGGCCACGCCCACACCAACTGTGGAGCTTAACTCCACAGCAGCCGGGAAAGAATCAGACCCGGGCTGCGCGCAGGTGCCCAGCACAAGCCACTACGGGTCCCCGTTCTCACAGGAGAGGAAGGCCACAAACCAGCAAGAAGGGACGTTCTCCCAGCTGATAAACGCACCAGCTCCCCACAACTACCTCATAAAGGCAGAAGAATTTAATACAGACAAGACTAACCCAGACAACCTCCCCTGAGAAGGAATCTGGGGACACAGAACTAAACAGTCTCCATGAAAAATAATTCAAAATAAAGGTCATAACCATGCTGATGAAGCAGCAGAGAAATATTCAAGAGGTAAGGGATGAAGTCCGGAAGGAGATTACAGAAATGAAACAATCTCTGGAAGGATTTCTGAGCAGAATGGATGAGATGCAAGAGTCTATTGATGGAATAGAAATCAGAGAACAGGAACTCATAGACAGATAAAACGATCACCAGGAATGAAATAATATTAAGAGAACTGTGTGACCAATCCAAAATGAACAATATCCGCATTACAGGGGTACCAGAAGAATAAGAAGAGAGAGAGAAAGGGATAGAAAGCACGTTTGAAGAAATAATTGCGGAAAACTTACTCAAACTAGGGGAGGAAATAATCGTTCAGACCAAGGAAGTCCACAGAACTCCCAACAGAACGGACCCAAGGATGAAAACACCAACACACACAATAATTAAAACAGCAAAGATCAAGGACAAGGACAGACTTTCAAAGGCAGCTAGAGAGAGGGAAAAAGTCACCTACAAAGGAAAACCCATAAGGCTATCATCAGACTTCTCAAAAGAAACCTTACAGGCCAGAAGAGAATTGCATGATATATTTAATACAATGAAACAGAAGGGCCCTCAAACAAGAATACTATATTCAGCATGATTATCATTTAAATATGAAGGAGGTATTAAACAATTCCACACAAGCAAAAGATGAGGGAATTTGTGTGCCACAAACAACCTCTAAAGGGTATGCTAGAGGGACTACTCTAGACAGGAGCACTCCTAAGGATAAATGGATGTCAACAGAGAAAATAAAATCACAGCAAAGAAAGCAGACCAACCAAATAACAAAAAAGGCAAAAAATAACATCAACTACCCACAAAAGCAGTCAAAGGAAACATAAAAGAGCAAACAATAAAACACCCAACATATAAAGAATGGAGAAGTAGGAATAAGAAGGGAGAGAAATAAAGAATCATCAGACAGTATTTATAACAGCTCAATAACCAAGTTAAGTTAGACAGAAAGGTATTAAAAAAGCTAACCTGGAACATTTGGTAAGCACAAATCTAAAGACTGCAATGGCAATAAGTATATATCTTTCAATAATCACCCTAAATGTAAATGGACTGAATCCACCAATCAAAAGACACAGAGTAATAAAATGGATGAAAAAGCAAGACCCATCTATATGCTCCTTACAAGAGACTCACCTCAAACCCAAAGACATACACAGACTAAAAGTCATTGAATGGAAAAAGATACTTCATGCAAACAACAAGGAGGAAAAAAGCAGGTCTTGCAGTACTAGTATCAGACAAAATAGACTTCAAAACAAAGAAAGTAATAAGAGATAAAGAAGGACATTACATAATGATAAAGAGCTCAGTCAAACAAAAGGATATAACTATTATAAATATATATGCACCCAATAAGGAGCACCAATATAGATGAAACAAATACTAACAGAACTAAAGGAGGAAACAGAACGCAATGCATTCATTTTAGGAGACTTCAACACGACACTCACTACAAAGGATAGATCCACAGGACAGAAAATAAGTAAGGACACAGAGGCACTGAACAACACACTAGAACAGATGGACCTAACAGACATCTAAAGAACTCTACATCAAAAAGAAACAGGATACACATTCTTCTCAAGTACACATGGAACATTCTCCAGAATAGACCACATACTAGGCCACAAAAAGAACCTCAGTAAATTCAAAAAGATTGAAATTCCACCAACCAACTTTTCAGACCACAAAGGTATAAAACTAGAAATAAATTGTACAAAGAAAGCAAAAAGGCTCACAAACACATGGAGGCTTAACAACATGCTCCTAAATAATCAATGGATCAATGACCAAAATAAAATAGAGATTAAGCAATATATGGAAACAATAAAAACAACACAAAGCCCCAACTTCTGTGGGATGCAGCAAAAGCAGCCTTAAGGCAAAAGTATATAGCAATCCAACAATATTTAAAGAAGGAAGAACAATCCCAAATGAATAGTCTAACATCACAATTATCGAAATTGGAAAAAGAACAAATGAGGCCTAAAGTCAGCAGAAGGAT